CCAGGCAAATATGGCCAGGAATCCAGACCAGAGACAATTTGTTAAGTCTTCCTATCGAGGAGAGTTCTTTTTGGGGGTTTGCTACCAATTTAGACGTTGCTCCGAGCTTCCAACGCCGCTTGATTGTCCGAGAATATTTTTATTGACTTGTGTGTGAGATTGGATTTATCCAATTTATCCAAAAAACAATGTGCAGCCACAGTCCGTCGCGTATTTCTGATATGTACCGCTCTTGGTGGAATCAAATGTGCCAAGTCCCTTGAACACTTCCCGTGAAAGTATCTATAGAAGAGAGGCAAATCTCCAACCTTTCTTCAATGTTCCAGACTGTCAAGGCTGTAAGTGATGTTTGCGTCTCCAATCGAATGGCTATTTCTGTATGGAATCCGGTAGCTTCAGAGTATATTTGTGGGCGAAGCTCCATACATGAGAACAATACTCCAAAAGAGGTCTGATCTGAGCTTTATAAAGCATCAAAACTTGCTGAGGTGTATACAGTTTTCTAGTTCCAGAACAGTGTTCCAAGCTTTTGAGAAGCAACCTTTGCAATTCCAACGACATGATTGTGTGTGTGTCAATAAAAAGAGGGGTGGAGACAATATGGCTCCCTGGGGAACACCAGCGTTGATGGTGAAAATATTCGAAAGATATCCATCGACGGCCATTTATAGGGAACGTTTCTTCCAGGAAGCCATACACAAAAAATGATCCGTCAAGCCATAGCATCGAAGTTTGGCCAGCAAACCTTCATGCCCACACACGGTCAAAGGTCTTAAAAATATTATTTCGCAAAAATTTTGCATGTTTCCAGATCACTCCCAATCATTCCAGATTGTTCCGGGATATTCTGGAATGTTGTGGAATTCTTTTGAATACTCTTGACTATCCTGGACCGTTCTAGAATTGTCTGAAAGACCAAAATTCCAGCCTTCAAATCATGAAAACCATGCTTTTCAGCTAAAAACGAGATGTACACAAACGCTTCATTTCCGAACATTCCACTACATTTTAGAATGTTCTATAATGTTCTGGAAAATTGTGGAAAGCTCTCGAATGTTCTGAAACTAAAACTGTCTAGAAGGCAAAACTTTTGGCACTTATATCTTTAAGAACGGTAAAAAGGGAAACCTCCTACATAAACAAGCTGATGTGACATTATATTGAATATTGAATGCAGGCATATAAATATGCCTGCATTCGTGTCAGGTCGCTAGTATTTGATATAATAATAATCATGGCCAACAGATATGGAATAGAATTTGATAGTATTGAAATAACAATATAATGGATAATTTTTTTTCTGGTATCTTTTTGGCACTACTGTTTTTGACAGATCACGCGTGAATCGTGTCTTGTGTCATTGTCAAACTTGTTCAGTTTGGTCTATAATTTAACCATGAATCGACTTGCGAATGAACAACGCTTGCAAATTATTAAATATCATTATCAAACTTCATGCTCGGTGAAGAAAATGCATCGTGCTCTCTTCCAATTTATGGGCAGTTTCGTCGGCCTACTGAGGGAGCTACTCGGAAGCTTGTGACTAAATTTCTAACCCCGTTTACATTATTGGACATCAAACCACCAACACGCATACATAGAGTGAGGACCGAAGAAAATATTGCGGCTGTATCCGCCAGTGTTCGTGATGACCGTGAAATATCGATTCGCCGCCGATCGCAGCAATTGGGCCACTGGTACTCCACTACGTGGAAAATTTTGCGAAAGGATTTGGGTGTGAAACCTTATAAGATACAGCTGGTGCACCTCCCACAACGTCTAACATTCGGTGAATGGGTGCTAGCAAAGTTGGAGGAAGATCCACATTTTTATCGAGAAATTGTGTTCAGCGACGAGGGTCATTTCTGGTTAAATGGATACGTTAACAAGCAATATTGCCGCATCTAGAGTGAAGACTAGCCCCAAGCATTACAAGAGCTACCCGAAAAAGTCACTGTTTGGTGTGGATTATGGGTCAGTGGCATCGTCGGGCCGTACTCCTTCAAAGACGACAATGGCCGGAACGTTACTGTGAATGGCGAGCGCTACCGTGTGATGATTGACATGTGGTTTCAACAAGACGGTGCCACATGGCGCACGGCACGCGAAACAATGGCCCAATTGAGAGCCGCCTAATCTGCCGAACACTAAGAACCTGATTCGGTCCCCAGCGGGGCAGGCACAAAGTATATGCTGTTTCATCATTTTCCAGACATAGGTGACACACACTATCTTCCGACAGTCTGAGTCTCTGCATATGATGATTCAGATTGCAGTGACTTGTAAGAAGGCCTGTAAGAAGGCCATCGTAGTTCATCCCTGCTGTAGTCCAACAACTGTTTGGTATCAAGCTGAAAGACCAAAATTCCAGCCTTCAAATCCTCAAAACCATGCTTTTCAGCTAAAAACGAGATGTACACAAACGCTTCATTTCCGAACATTCCACTACATTTTAGAATGTTCCATAATGTTCTGGAAAATTGTGGAAAGCTCTCGAATGTTCTGAAACTAGAACTGTCTGGAAGGCAAAACTTTTGGCACTTATATCTTTGAGAACGGTAAAAAGGGAAACCTCCTACATAAACAAGCTGATGTAACATTATATTGAATATTGAATGCAGGCATATAAATATGTTCTGCTACCCACCCGCCACCGTGTCAGGTCGCTAGTATTTGATATAATAATAATAATGGCCAACAGATATGGAACAGAATTTGATAGTATTAAAATAACAATATAATGGGTGATTTTTTTGCTGGTATCTTTTTGGCACTACTGTTTTTGACAGATCACGCGTGAATCGTGTTTTGTGTCATTGTCAAACTTGTTCAGTTTGGTCTATAATTTAACCATGAATCGACTTGCGAATGAACAACGCTTGCAAATTATTAAATTTTATTATCAAACTTCATGCTCGGTGAAGAAAATGCATCGTGCTCTTCTTCCAATTTATGGGCAGTTTCGTCGGCCTACTGAGGGAGCTATTCGGAAGCTTGTGACAAAATTTCGAACCCAGTTTACATTACTGGACATTAAACCACCAACACACATACGTAGAGTGAGGACCGAAGAAAATATTGTGGCTGTATCCGCCAGTATTCGTGATGACCGTGAAATGTCGATTCGCCGCCGATCGCAGCAATTGGGCCACTGGTACTCCACTACGTGGAAAATTTTGCGAAAGGATTTGAGTGTGAAACCTTATAAGATACAGCTGGTACACCTCCCACAACGTCTAACATTCGGTGAATGGGCGCTAGCAAAGTTGGAGGAAGATCCATATTTTTATCGAGAAATTGTGTTCAGCGACGATGGTCATTTCTGGTTAAATGGATACGTTAACAAGCAATATTGCCGCATCTAGAGTGAAGACTAGCCACAAGCATTACAAGAGCTACCCGAAAAAGTCACTGTTTGGTGTGGATTATGGGTCAGTGGCATCGTCGGGCCGTTCTCCTTCAAAGACGACAATGGCCGGAACGTTACTGTGAATGTCGAGCGCTACCGTGTGATGATTGACATGTGGTTTCAACAAGACGGTGCCACATGGCGCACGGCACGCGAAACAATGGCCCAATTGAGAGCCGCCTTCGGTGAACAGTTCATCTCACGTTTGGAGCCTGTCAATTGGACGCCTAGATCGTGTGATTTAACGCCTTTGGATTATTTCTTGTGGGGTCATGTTAAGGCTCATGTCTAGAGGGATAAACCAGCAACAACTGACGCTCTGGAAGCCAATATTGAAGCATTTATACGTGAAATACCGGTCGATATGTTAGAGAGAGTGTGCCAAAATTGGACCTTGCGCATGGGCCATCTAAAGCGGAGCCGCGGACAACATTTGCATGAAATCATCTTCAAACATTAAATTATATTGATCGTTTTATCGATTCCAATAAAGATTTCATCAATTTTTTTTAAAAATTGTTTTGTTTTGAAAATCAAATCCTTCACCTTTTTAAAAATTACCCATTACTTCATATGAAAATATTTTAACTGAGGATACACTACAAAACACACTTTTGTGTATTTTCCACTATATTTCTTTATTGTTGACCGGTTTCGGCTATTATACCATTTTCAAAACTAACTGATTACATTTAAATCCGAGTAATTTATACCTATATTATTCTAGCATAAATGATGTGATATACCTGATATATCTGATATACCTGATATCCGGTACCTGCGTTTCATATACCTGTAAAATCCATGAACATAACAAAGCTTTCAATATAATGTAGGTTTTGGGATCTGGACTATAGGTTCAGGAGAGGACTATTGTTTAATTCAAGTTGTTCGTTGAGGACAATAGAATTGGGATCTTTCTTTGACCTGTTTATTTCCATAGATTCCAACAGATTCATCATTTTCCCTTTTTCGCATGTATGTAGGATCTTTAAATTATCTTTATCTATTTTATGTTTCGAATTTTGAAGATGTTCGTACATTAATGATTTTTTNGATATCAGGTATATCAGATATATCAGGTATATCAAATCATTTATGCTAGAATAATATAGGTATAAATTACTCGGATTTAAATGTAATCAGTTAGTTTTGAAAATGGTATAATAGCCGAAACCGGTCAACAATAAAGAAATATAGTGGAAAATAGACAAAAGTGTGTTTTGTAGTGTATCCTCAGTGAACATGAATTTCCACAAAATAAACAAGTCGTCAATCGAAGAAGTAAAATATTTTAACGCACATATTTTTGTGTGCCTTTTAAAATTTTCAATACAATATCATAAATATGGTTTGACAATATAGATGAATGTATTACTATTATGTATAATTATGTATTCTCACGGTAATTCGACTGAATATTCAACCGCCAGTTTATTTTTATCTGGTGAGTTCGTCGAGGGGGAATTGTGAAGGTTACAGATTGTAATTCACAAACTTTTTGCAAGCTAGAATCAACATCAAATAAAAAGTTGTCATCTTACTAGTCAATCAAAATGAATCAGCAGACTCAACTCAATTTATTTTTCAGTTCTCAGTAATGGACATCGAAAAAACCGCCAACCATAACCTGAAATGCAGTATTTGTAAAAACTACCTGAACGTAGCCCCTGTCCTCGCTTCAGAAGACGGCAAAATCATAAAATGCGGCAGATGCCAACTCAAAGGACCGCATTTGAAGAACAGAAACTCCCTGTACGAATCTATCGGCGCCAAACTCAACTTTCCCTGTATGAACAAGGAATGCAGCAGCAGAATGTCCTGGAACGACGTCCAACGCCACGAAAAGTCCTGCAAGCACAGGCAAATCAACTGCCCGTTCTGGAACTGCAGAGAAAAAGACATCAGGTTTGCCATAAACAGCGACATCAGTCACTTCGAAACGAGTCATCCCGGTTCCATTCACTACGGCAGCGGAATCACCTTGAACCTCAAAGTCATAACGCACCTGCAGTCCTTCATGAAGCTCCTTGTAGTGAACGATGTCCCCTTTTTGGTGCTGATCCACTGCATCAAATTCGGGGAAGAAGTCTTGGTAGGAGTGTTCGGCTTCGACAGCAAAGCGTATGAGTACCACTTGAAAATCCACTCGGACCAGCACGACAGGAGACACGTTTTCTTCAAGGAGAGTACCATGCTGTACGATGAAGACCAGCACTGCTTATACTGTCTGCAGAACCTGTGCGTCCTTCAAAGTCACAGATACTCTAAGGTTCATCCAGAAAATAAAAAAGACATCTACAAGTTTTATTCGAATGTTACGACCCTAGCGACAAAGACTTTATTGCAGACGGAGAATTTGTTGTTCGATATCAGTATTTTTGAGAGCAAAGTGAATGGGGAACAAGAGGATTGATGTATGGGTATTATTTTGTGATTTCTAGTTGTTAATTTTATCTGTTAGTATCAAAAGTGGTTAACGAATAAAAAAATTATCATTCATATTCGAAGACTTGAAAGACTTGAAAACATTATAGCTTATTGTGTAGTCCTCAAGCGCCAACTAATCACCAGTGTTATAGAACCTCATACTGGACTAGATACTACACCTTCCAGATAATTCTGAAAATGAAGAACTAGCTTTGCAGACGATATAGTCATTCAAAGCGGCCGGCCTAAACAACTTGGGTGAAAGGGTGAAGATGGAGAATCTGTATCTGTAGAGTATGGAGAGTGAGTATAGGCCCACAGCACTTAGGCCACATNTTTGGCTCTGGAATTGTCCTCTGATCCATCAAAGTCGCCATTATCCATATTCATGAATGGACAAGTAAAGGTGATCACATCTCCCTCTAGGAAGACGCCGAAGCTCCCCAAAGCGGTCAGACACGGTGCTGTCTAGTCTTGGATCACAAGTAAATCTACGAACCAGCAGTAGGAGTACTGTAATCTGACCCCATGCCATTTGGTATGAGGCCAGATAAGAAAAAACGGATGATTCGACTCGAGTGTAGGCTCTACAGTTTCATGTCAAGGAACGATATATTTCAACAACAACATTACATTGGATTAAACTAGACTTTTGAAAAAATAATCATAATATCAAGCCCAATATTGATTTGGCAAATATGAACTTTTAGGTAGCTGGCTTTAGGTAGCTGGCTTTAGGAGCTGGCTCTGCAAGGTACTTGAAATTTGACATTTGTTTGAAGGTGATTGACAATGTTTAATGATGAATTTCATTAGTTCGGACTTCAATTGCCTGATATTATATAAAATGATTTGAAATCCCTGAAAGAATTATTAAAAAAGAAGAATTAAAAATGAATAGTTGAAAATATCCACAATCGCATTGGGGTGATGACTGGACTAGTTCCTCGGAGAGATGAATATTTATGGGTCATTCGAGTACTTTCATTTATCTCCGTTTTCCTTTCTCCGCTCCACCGATTTAGTGGAAGATGACCCGCCAAACGGTCATCTCCCTCTCCCAAACATCTTCATTCGAGCGAGATTTCTAACCGGTGGGCATTTTTTTGAAGTCTGCGAACAGAAAAAAGTCACTGAAAGCCCAATTCATGCAATTTTGCCATTATTTTGATTGACTTGTGACATGGTGCGTTGTCTTGATGAATTTTTTTTTGCCATATGCGGTCGTTTCTTTGCTATTTTGGCCTTCACACGCTCCAATAAAGCTATGTATTATTCACTCTTGATGGTTTTTTCCTTCTCAAGATAGTCGATGAATATTACACCGCGCACATTCCAAAATACCGAGGCGATAACCTTTCCAGCCGATTGTTGTGCTTTCAGATGCTTTGGACGAGGTACACCAGTTGTTCTCCACTCAGATGAAGATCATTTTGATACCGAAGTGAAGTGATGAATCCATGTTTCATCCATTGTCACATATCGACGCAAAAATTCCGACTTGTTATGTTTAAACATGGCCAAACACTGCTCAGAATCATCAAGCCGTTTTTGTCAGTCAGCTCGCGCGGCACCCACTTTGAACAGGGCTTTCTCACACTCAAATACTCATACGATATAAAGCCAACACGTTATTTTGATATCTTCACAATGTTAGCTAACTCACGCAACTTCATTTTTCAATCATTCAAAACGATTTTGTGGATTTTTTCATGTTTTCTGATATTACTGCCTCATTTGGACGTCCACTGCGTTCTGCATCATCGGTGTCTCTAGGACCACCTCTGATATCATCCTGCATAGAGGTGGGTCCACCAGCCCCATATTATAGAGGTGTTCCCTTAGTTGACAGTGACCAGTCAGAAATCCTACTGTTAGGCGTAGATTTTTCCTGGTCATTGCCAAATATTTCTTCGGCACCAGCTTCCCAGGGTCACCCAAGGTGATCCTGGCAAGATTACATCCTTTGGTTTCGTCCCATCTCTTTAAGGATTGAGNTTCACTGTGATGTCTTCTACATTAATACTTATTGTTCTACTAGAGAGCGTCTTGAGTATCTCACATAGAACCTTTCATTTATAATTTTTTCTTATACTTTTCAATTGTTTCATATCAACATTGTAAATACTAGTTCATTCCCAGTATGTCGATTGAATCTAATAATGTTATTTCGTCAGTATATTTACTTTAACATTTCCTGTAATTGCCAGTACCTACACCTGGAAATAAAGTGCTATATAGCTATACAGAAATTTGAAAATTGTAAGTACAATGAAGTGTCTTTCAAATAAAATTTTTATTTCTTTTGTCATAATGCCGAAATTTTGCATCAGAGAGTAAATTTTTAATGGCCGTAGAGAAACTATTTACACTAAATCCCGTCAACAAAAGACAAAACGCAATAAACTGTTTTATGAGTTTACATCAGTAAAAACAGTGCTTCGCCACTATAAGAACATTATAACTAAGAAGTTGTTTATTTCAAGAATAGTGAAAGATTTTTATGAGCACTTACCTCTTTCATGGACTTTATAGGCGAACCTTGTGAGGATTCCGAACTTGACTGGTGTTTCATATCCCGGAACAAGGATGTCGGTAGGTCCATTGATGGAAAGATGTTCAACTTCGATGTCGGATATTGCTGACTGAAGAACGCATGACCAGTTCACCAGTTGATCAGCCCTGAAACAAAACGAATTCTGTAACTGATCCAAATTTTAAAAATAACACACAATTCACAAGTCGAAGTGACTCATATTTTCACGTTGAAGGGAGTGTGAGAATTTAATTTCTCCCAAGTAAGAGAACAGTCCTGAACAGTCCACAAATTTTGAAGTGACAATTTTACAAAATTCCCAACTTTTCGCTGTTTTTTTGACTTGGAAAAGTTGTCTTCTGCATCTGTCCGGCTGAGATTTCTGCCTTAGTGCGGCAAGCCGATATGATTTTAAGATTCAAGAGTAGAAAGGGCATCATTCCAGCAAGGACTCCAATAATCAGAACAACCAGCTTGACACAGTAGTCTCCTCCTCTTTTCGGACGATATTCGTCTCGCCAGGAGCTGAAAACACAACAAATATCGTTTTGCTCTGGTGGTCGGGAAGGAATACATCAGGCTTATTAGCTTGTATGAGCCTGAGGGTGGGGTACGAATAATTCCAATAAATTCGGCACTTCTCGTTCCCCACAACAAATTCAATATCCGCCGGAGTGTAGGGCAACACCGGTGTTTCGTCAATACCGTAAGACTGCTGTAAATGGTAATATAGCACTGTTAGGGCCGCGTTATGCCGATGGATATACGCTGAAACTGCATATGCTGGACATGCTGACAGCAAGTGCTTTGGGGTCTCGGGCGCCTCGCGGCAGACCCTGCACCTTGTGTCAGGAACCTATATACCCATCACACGATTGCGATAGACTAAGGTGTTGAAGACACCATCCTGGCAAGCCATGATGAAACCTCAGTTTCCGACTTCAGCCCACTCGACCTGAGGAAAGCGAAAGTCAGGCGCTTTGATAGGCCAAGGTCACCATTGTTATTGAAGAAGACAACAAGTATTGGCTTATCCTTGTGTTTCCGCAGAAGTGAGGTGCTCTCTGCTTTTATATGATCTTTTTGCTGAACAGGTTCCAACACGGTGACAGAGTTGTGGTCACCTTGTTCAGTGTCGACAACTAAACCAAGTTCATTAGCTGATCTGAAGAGAAATGCTCCAATTCCTGCTCTCTCATGGTCACGGACCATGCAAAGAAGGGGATCCGAACTTCTGACAACTTTGCAGGCTGTATCCACTACCATTATGTCATGTAGACACTCCAAACTCAAAAGTCCACGGCCTTCTTGCCTGTCGGGGGAAGTAAAACCGTGGAACAGATGATTTGGGATGCAAGCTCCTATAGAGATGCATCATTTTTCAGGTCCTTACGTCGAGTTGATACAGCTCCTCCCGAGTCCACTTCACTACTCCAAACGAGTAGAGTAAGATTGGAACGGCAAGCATATTTATTGCAGCAACTTTGTTCTTCCCCGACAGTTCCGATGAACAGATCTGTCGAAGTTTGTGCTGATACTTGCCGCGGAGAGAGTTCTTCATTGCTGTTACCTCTTATGAGTGACGTTGTTTCACCCCGAGGTAAGTATGCGTCTCTCCGGCATCCAAATGGTGTAGGATGCTATGAACAGATCTGTCGAAGTTTGTGCTGATACTCGCCGCGGAGAGAGTTCTTCATTGCTGTTACCTCTTGTGAGTGGCGTTGTTTCACCCCGAGGTAAGTAGGCGTCTCTCCGGCATCCAAATGGTGTAGGATGCTTCCATCTACGAGCTGCACATCCTCTCCGTAGTCGCCGCATCCTCCACTTTTGAGTTGGACCATTACAAATTTGTCTATCCCGAATTTCTTACAGATATTATTCACTCAAGAATTCAAATTATGATTAAAATTTTCACACAGGCAGTTTTCTGAAATTCGCCTTGAGAACATACGTATCTATGAAAAATTATCGTTAGTTAAACAATGTATCATTCATTGAACAAGAAAAATTTCTAGATTTAATTTTCCCAATGGAAATCTTGACAAAGTAAAGCTATGCAAACAACGCATACATCATGATATTTATTGAATTGACTTATTTCATCTATAACTCCGTTAACGAATACTATCAACCAAAATAACAAACTAGGTCACTGAGAGAAATATATATTATTTTCAATTAGTTTGACAGGCACTCATTAGGCTAACTGAAAACGAAACGAAATCATTCACTCATTACAAATCATGTATTTGTGTGGTCCAGTTTTCATGTGTGAATTCCTACCAGCAATCATACGTTCGCATTAGGCAAATTGGATGGTCCAAATTTTACAAATTCTATGTAAAAGTACAGAGTATCATTCGTTTAAAAAAATCAATTTCAGTGTTACCCACTTTCATCATTCGTTTAAAAAAATCAATTTCAGTGTTACCCACTTACTCATTATTCCATTCATCAATTTGTCTGATAGAGTCCAATCTTCAAGACACAAAAATCCACGATGATCGAAACCTTACAGGTACAGGTAACTGTCTTTAAAAAACTACTCAAACGTATAGTAATTGTGAACAGCAAACCACATCAAAAACTAACCTGTAAATCAATCCAGCTTCGAATAACTTTATGAACGCCTCCTGTACTGCGGCGGACCGCTTTTCATCCATTGTGAAAACTTCTCTTTCCCAGTCAAGCGACACGTTCAAACGACGAAGTTGTTCACCTACAGATTCGAAAGAGTGAATGCAGGATATTTCATTCATTGAATATACATTTAGTTTTTCACGAATCACCCCGTATACATATGAATTTATTCAAGGTTAACTTCACGGAAAATACAATTTAACCTCTGAGACAAATCAATAACAATGCCTAAAAAAATAAAATATATTTCAAATAATCGTAATATAATCTCACAAACGTGACTGTTTTCCTAAAAAGGACTGGCGGGATATATTTGATTAAAAAACGCGTTTATTTTATGCCATACGGTCTGTGCTACCCGAAATAGCACTCTGTAATGTGCAAAAGTGAAAAGTAAAAATGAAAGAAACTTGCTGGCTGCAGACGCTTCTCATGACATATCTATTCTGTTTCATAACTTTACGTTTATAAGGATGTTTTTGAGCTGATTTATGATATAGTCGAACTGCGAGTCAAAAATTTCAGTCACGCTGTTATTCCATATGCAATTTTACCTATAACTTCAGCTTTCTCTTCTTTCCATTCCCACACTTTTTTGTGAAACGCTTCCCTGCCAATATCGTGTCTCGATTGCCTGCTCTCTTTCCAAAGTCGCTTTTCCACAACTACTTGTGTAGCGATTCCTGCGTGGTCAATGCCCGGCACCCACGATGTCTCGAATCCTTGCATTTGTTTCCTGAAAATTCTCTCTAGAACAGAAGTTTCCAAAATGGAGAATAATATTATATATTTTCAAACCATCCTTCTCGAGGAATGGGGTTATCTATGTCTCCGTTTCTTTGGTGTTTTGAACCTAACCTAACATATCTGCATACAAATTTTATTTTTGGTGTTTTTTTTTCATTTCTACTGAGAAAGCAAGTTGTTAACGAACCGCGTCAAGAAATTGAAAATTTTCATGAAAAATGTGTAATTATTATCATGGAAATGAAGCTAGAATTAGACGAAGTACCCTAAATGTATTTGAACATCTAGATCTGTTGCTCAGTTAATGGGCACATCCATCATTATAAAAGTGCCTACCGAAAAACCGCATAAACTTTATAGTAACGATCATCAACATGAATGGAGTTCTAATGGGTCGGTACTGCAAATATATGATATCGAACAAGATAATCTTCTATTTATCACAAAAAGTTCATAAAACACCAGTCCAATGACATGAAAACTTGTTTCAGTTATAGAGAAAAGTTTGATGTAATGTTGCCAACGAGGTCGCCGGACCTAACATCAATGGACTTTTATCTATGAAAAATAATGAAATTGGAGATTCACTGTACTAATAAACGAAAGAATATGGAAGTGATTCAGAAAATGTGTCTTAAATGATGGAAGACATTTTGAACATAAGTTATAAGTGTATTAAATAATGTCTCAAGTAATCAAAAAACTCACTGACAGATCGTTGGATATTGAATGCGGAGGGAAGCTAATATACAGGGTGCTCCACGAGTAAAAATCGAATAAGACGAAAATCAAACCCAATTTATGAAAATATAAATGTTAATCATAGCATAAACGCCCCTTTAGCGTCTCTACGTCACTTTCAACAGATCAAATGCAGCTCTTCGGAGAAACAATAATATATTAACTTCGCACTAGCACACTGTGACTTGGAAAATATTTTGTGCTGATCAGTAACAAAGGTACCATTTTCCTTTTGTCCCCTTTTTTTCAGTTACGGAGAAATGCAACACCCAGTGCATGTGGCCTTTCTTTCATATAAAACTGTTTTCGATATATCGTCAATAGGCACCGTTGAGATTTTCGGTATACTTTCAATTTCAACACAAGTCTGTATTTGTTGACTTACCATCTTACCAAAACGTCTTGCACAGTAGCGGTAAGTGCATGTCCTAAATGTAAAGTTCCGGTAATATTTGGCGGTGGCAGAACTAAAGAAAATTTGTTCTCGTGTTTTGGAGGAGGTTTGAAATAGTTGTAGCCTAGGCCGAGTGTCTCAACTTTATGAGGAACATAGCCCTGATCCAATTCTGAAACAATATAATATTTATTGGTGAATCCCCCGTGCACCTACAAAACTCTTTTGAATTTGGCGGTAGGTAATCATTTCAAAAATGGCATTTCTGAACATGCACTGCCATCTTACGATAGAGAGCAAAAGCTGACATATAAACAAATGTACAGAAAGCTTACCAGTTGCTTTATCGATGGAATAATTTATTCTAAAGAGTGTTCTTGCTGTTTTTATGTCACTACCACAAAAACTACATTTTCTACATAATGTATACATGTTTTATCAACAAAGTTGAACCAGTTATTGAGCGAATACTATTTTCTCATACCTTCACAGGTTATGTCTTAGGATAATATCTTCTTCCTATTTTCTGAAAAGAGACTATTGATTCAGTGTTATTGTCGCTAGGTAAACAATACCTTATATTTGTGGGGAAAAATACAGTATGAATCAAACAATTTGAATACCTACGAAAACTGAAAATAACAATTAAAAATTATCAAGTCAGTATGTCTGTCAGATATGGTATATTGTAACATACTCCGCTTCACATAAATGTTCAAATTACATTCAGCAGTCGCATTTTTTCTCCGTAATTTTTTCAGTATATTGATTATTATTTACGTTACTATTCTGTCTATTGGACAATTCACACTATTTCACACACTATTTTTTCAATTTTTTTTTGTTTAACTCAAATTTTGCATCTAGTATTTGCCCAAACAGCTTATATTAACAACATAATATTGTTATATTCTCAATGAATTTGACAACAAATCAGGTTTCAGTGATATCAATAATATATAAGTGGATTGAAGTTGCGTAGAATATCCTTTATATAATCGCTTGGATCTCTCCCCCATCTTAAATAGTTTGTCAAAAACTGTGGACTTATTAGCACTCACGATGAATAAATAATAAAGAGAGTCAAAAAATTCTAGCGTTCCATTCACAGAGGTGTTGAGTATAACTCAAGTGATGCATTTTAACAATATAAATTTGTTCATATTTCGTAATGAATTGATATAAATTGAAAGTTAGTTTTTAATAAAAACAAAAGTGTTTCTTCGCATCTTCGATAGATTCATACCAGTGTCAGAATTGTTAATCAATGACGTGGTCATATGGAAGGTTTGTTGATATCTTTGATTTATAGACCATGAGAAAAAATATTCCACCCGATATAAACTCATTCCTAAATGTAAACCACATTGAAAATTGAAGTGTCATCATGACATTGTCAAGGAGTGTTACTTGAGTTGTCAGCACATCTGTGAATGAAACGCTCTTTGTTATTTTTTTATCAAGAGTACCGCAGGTCGGGTGTTTTTGACAAAATATGTTACATTGGTAAAGGGTCCAAGTCATCAAACTAGGGATATCTTATGTATTTGGGTTCTCGCCCCGAATATGAAAAGTCCAGTGCAAGTGACAGTTGCCCTAACGTCAATATTAATGCGGCACTATTATACAAACGAACATTCAACACCAAAACTTGGCGCGACGCACTGACCTAGACATTTAATATTTTCTTGACGTGATGACGTAAAGAGGTGGTTTCTATATAACAATTTCCAAAATGTCTTTAATATGCAAGAGAATACCCGTACATAAAACCATTGCCTCCATCTTCAAGAATACTCCACAATCATTAGATGAATGCGTTTTTTTAAACCTAGCAAAACATCGACCTTATGTAACAAAACCCAAAACAGAAAAAATAGGAAAAGGAGTGTTTAGAATAGGTCTAACAGGTCTTACTGTAGGCGCTCTTGTTGGCACAGGATATTCCATTCACTATATGAACAAACCCAGAGCCCATATACTTAATGAAGAAGTAACTCTTCCATTACTTAAAGAACTACCAGATATAAAACCCACTAAATCTGTAAGTTTTCCCAATATGTAATGTCTTGAGTGTTGTTGTGTTGATATTTATTATTATAATTGAAAGGTTATGGATTAGATGGCTCATCCATTTGAATATTTGATTATTTGTGTAGTTGAGAGTCCAAGATATTTCTTCCAATGAAAGAATTTAATGTATCGAGTGTCGTGCAGGGTAGGTGCAATACTATTTATTTTGTACCTCAATGTTATGCATTTCAAAGGAGAATATCTAATATTTGGTTGGCATCAAACTTGAAATTAATGTTTCCCAAACAAAAGCAATGATCATTATTGCAAAGACAAATTCAAGGAATTAAACTCGGAGAAAATTCAATGTTAATATTGTCAATGATACAATTGAGGCTACCCACTAGTATCTGTTCAATTTGAATCAAAATGCTCAGCTGCATATTCTTCCAAAGCAATGATCGTGTATAATTTTATAGTGGGTTTCACTTTCCCATCTTCATACAAAAAAATAGTTGCTTCAAATGATTATACATTGTCAATAACATTTGCCGGTACAATTATTATTATATTACTGTAAGGTAAACAATATATCATTATGGATGGAATATACTTTTTATTATATTATTTCAGATCAGGATAGTGGGAGATCGCAGCGGTCTACACCTTACCCTATTTCAATACCAAACGTGTCCTTTCTGCTGTAAAGTAAGAGCTTTTCTTGATTATTATGGCATATCATACGATATTGTGGAAGTTGATCCCGTTCTGCGACAATCGATAAAATGGTCACCCTACAAAAAAGTGCCTATTTTAGTTGCCAAAACTGAAGAAGGATATCAGGTTAGTTGAAACAACTAAAGATTTTTCCTATTGTCATCATTCATCTGTGTTTTAGCCTCTCAATGACAGCACGATGATAATATCTGCTCTGGCATCGTATTTGAAAGACTCTGACAAAAATATTCCTGAAATAGCTAAGTGTTTTCCCATGATCAAGTATGTGGAAGAGGACGGTTCAATGAAAAATGAAATTATGAATAGATATTTTTTAATGCTGAGCAATCAAAGACTTCAGGGGATGAACGAGACTGAAAGCAAGTAAGCAAAATATGTAGGTTTTTGTTGAACCCTTCATAGTGAAAATCATACAAAAAACTTTATTAACGAGTTTTAACATGAATTTTTACCAAGTATCGGCCAGTTCTATTCAACAAAAAAGTATCTGAGGCAGCACGAAACATACTCAAGGTGTTAATTCTTGTTTTGTTTCAGCGAGGAAAGAAAATGGCGGAAGTGGGCAGATAGTGTTCTAGTCCACACCCTGTCTCCAAACGTATATCGAACCAAAGAGGAAGCCCTGCAAGCCTTCAACTGGTTTTCAGAGGTTGGAGAATGGGAACGAAATTTTCCGGCTTGGGAAAGATATCTCATAATATACGTTGGCGCCTCCGCAATGTGGCTGATTGGCAAAAGACTGAAGAAAAGGCATAACCTCAAGGATGATGTAAGGCAGTCTTTGTATGATGAATGCAGCACATGGACTAGAGCTATCAATGCTAAAGGTAAATAATTGTTTACAGTTTCAGTTGTTTAGCACTGATTCAAAGTTTCATTTTTTTTCAGGTGGTACGTTCATGGGTGGCGATAACCCCAATCTTGCCGATTTGGCTGTTTATGGAGTTTTGAGTAGCATAGAAGGTTGTACGGCTTTCAAAGACATGTTAGAAAATACAAAGATATCCAAGTGGTATTATAGAATGAAAGAAACAGTGTTACAACATCAAGGAGCTAGGTTTATCTAGCTGTGTTCTATTTGATTTGACTTGTTACGATATTGAAGTCCAATAATATACTCTTACAGTTATTATCTTCTGTGCTTTTTATTTATCAACAATTTAGTATCTAGAAAGTTCAAAATTGTTGGGAAATTCATTTGATTTCTATAAATATGAAAATAATGATGACCCTGTATGAATGTATATTTATTTCTGAATCATTGAATCATTTCATAACATTTTTCTAAACCAAATATTGAGTATGGTACTGAAAAATCATACCTGTGGTGGTATCTGGTGACGAATAAATGGATCATTACTCTCCTCGGTTCTAGATAGTTCATAAAACTGTTAAAGAGTGGCGCTGGTTATTAACTAAAATCAAGTTCAAGGCCAAACGAAGCTCGAATTGAAAGTTTATTCAAATTTAAATGATATAATTTGTGAAATAGAAGCACATTTTTCTTTACTGTACGGGGTTTCTGAAACCAAATTTCATTATTTGAAAATGAGATACAGAAGTCTTTCGTATTTCAGTTAATGAATTCGAAATAATTCGAGTCCTGTTGAATGAGAAAATGATACTGTGAGCAGTACTGAAATATGTGATTTAATTTGAAAGCACGAAGATAAGTTGTCAATCTTTCCCAAAATCCAAACATGGGATTTGATATGACACATCCACTTTCTGTTGAATTTCTTTGTCCCTTGGGTATTTTATAGCTGCGTGAGCAAATTTCATATTTTTACAGTATTAGATACTTTGAAAATACTTGTAGATAACTCATATGTTGGGCATACTATAATATATTAATTTTCTTACTTAGCTATCCAAAGATTGGCTGAATGTTTATGCTCGTTAGGCAGGGCCGTAGTAAAAAGAAATACCAGAGGGGGAGGAAATCCAAATTTTCCTAACCCCACCAGCAAAATTTCCCAACTTTCATGTCATTTTGTTATTGACAAGTATTTTTTAATATACATATATGTGTTGTTCGTGAAATCAATGAAATGATCAGGGATATCAACGATTTTTTGGTAATTCAATCATTTAATACGCAAAGCAAATTCATTTCAATCTATATACTATGCTCCAGCCTATTCTTTCAACGCCCCTGTGGCCTAATGGATAAGGCATCGGCCTCCTAAGCCGGGGACTGTGGGTTCGAGTCCCACCAGGGGTACAACTTTTTTTTTAATGTGTCATCTAGAATATCGGGTTTTACCAAGAAATTTTCAGAATTATTCTTTAGGAAATTGTTTTGAATTAGGTTTTTTACTCAAATTCAAACCCATATCTTGAAACCTATTCTTCCGTTTCTTGTAATTAGTTTAGCATGCACATTCATTAACAGAACAGCAACTATAACTGCATTATGTCGTTCACTCTCTACATTTACGGTTAGAACAAATAATATCCAATGACCGCAGAAAATAAAAAAGAAGTTGCTAAAGAGAACAAATGTTGAAACTATATATTTTCCAACTGGTATCTTGAAGATTCAAATATTCCCTGTGAGTGTGAGTTGAGCATTGTCATTGCAGTTATTGAAGAAAGTAACATTCAAATACTGATTTCGAAATGAAATACGCAACTAGACTTTTTGTGTATTTTCCATTATTCATTTCATCACAGTTGGCATTTTCTTACAAAACAAAACACGAAAATTTTGATAAGCGAGAAGGGAAATGTGAGTATGTATTCATAGATTACACAGATATGGTCAACCAGTCGGTATTGTTTCCTTAGATAAACGAGGGAGAAAGAAAACTTCCACCATAATTTTGACATCCTTAAAACTTCTTCTGATAAAAAGAAAACCATTTTTCATGTAGCGAAGGACTGATAATGGGAAACTCATCGCCTCATTTGCTGGCTGGAATTTTCATTGATAATCTAGAGAACGAAATACATAATAATCAAGTTTGTTGTACTGGTAAAGATACGTAGGTAGATGATATCTCAGTCTGTTTTGTTGGTAGAGCTAGGCAAATAGGCAAGTCCATTCATTCCTCAATGAAATTTACCACTGAAAGGGAGGTGAATGATTAATGAAGTATCTCGACTTGATTATTATAAAAATTAATAATAGATGAACATGATTTTGCAATCTACCACAAACCATCTTATACATACATTGTTATAGATAATTCTTCCACACATCTCTACTAGCATAAACTAGCTGCAATCAATAGTATGCTTCATACACTATATTGACAATTCCACTTTATTTTCGCCAAACAGGTATACCTTTTTCTTCAAAGAACTAAAGAGCATACAAGTAGTTCCTTGATTGGAAAGACCAATTTCATATTTGCAAACCATATTTTAGCAGAAGGAGATGAGTTTAATCATGACTGTAGCGTGTTATATTTGAAACTCAAAATTTCAGCATTTTTAGAAATGAAGAGATTAAAGAATTCGGGTCATTCACTGACTGACCAAATATAATTGAATGATTCCCGTTACTGGATATTTTTTCGAATGTGGAAACTGGTAATTAACTGATACATAGACTCAGGTAATTTTATTCATGACAGGTTTATTTCAATGAGTTTGTACAATTCCTTATCTTACGTTGATGTTAAGTACTATTCTGATCATTCCCATATTGATTTCAATTTAGGAGCCACCGGTAGACAGGTGTGTCAGCCTATTGGGCAACGTCAGTACCGGACAGGCGGCCCTCGATAGAAAACAAAATGTGAATAACCAAGAAAAGTACTTGATTAAAAATAACTGCGTAAATGCAAGCGGGGCATAAGTGGAACCGCCTATTGGTGTGACACCCAACTCAACTTGCCAAGTTTTTATGTCAGTGCTGTGTGCTTTTTGATCACATTAAAGCGTTATTGCCAGCCTATAAATGTACTAGTTCTACATAAACACATTTTTGCCTTTGCAGTCTTTGGGGTGGGGCTGGTGAGATTTGCAAACAGCCCTTGTACAGCAAACAGTAACTTAATAGGGACGTGTTATAGAAGGAGACAGTGCACGGATATAGATGGATCGCCAGCCGGAAATTGTGCTAATGGAATAGGAGCTTGTTGTGTCAGTGAGTCAACCGAAATGTTTCACATTCAAACTTTGCGGTAAGATAGCGATTTCTCAATTGTTTCAGTTTTGAGAACTTGCGGCGAGACATCTTCTTACAACAGTACCTACTTCACAAATGCTGCTTATCCAACTCCAGTGACTGGAAGTACCAGATGCACTATGACCATACAGAGATGCAACCCTGATATATGTCAGGTATTAGTAAATTTTATGTGGTCCCAGAAATACCCGGCCCAACAAAGAATACACAAAGGTTTTGAAACAATTTATTCATAATCTCCTTTTCAAGTTTGGGAATAGAAAATAATCCTAGGAAGCTGAATTTGGCGAATTGGGTGCATGAGGTAGCAATTCAAACTCCAATTCGGTGATTTTGGTTATTGCATAAAGGATTTGCTAGCTAGTGCATTGTCTTGATGAAGAACACTTTTTTCTGAGCCAAATGCGCCGTTTCTGCTTGATTCCTCTACTCGAACGTTCCAATAAGATTGCATAATACTCCTTTGTACTCCTTACCTTTGTAAGGCCGGCCATTCACGTACAGTTTAAACTGTTAGTTTTAAAACTAACAATAACCGAGTTTGTGGGAATATTTGGGAGAAGCTGCTCACTGAACCAGGTTTCGAATAAAGCCGCAGTCATATCTTCGTGGTAATCAGCAGAAGAATCTTTTATATTTTTGGCCGACAGAAGCTTTGCGTTAGGCACGAAACCACTTTCATTCCCGACATGCAAAATTATAACACGTTTTCCCCTAACCAGCCTTATTTGACAACATCATGGGTGTCAAACCAAGTTTCGTCGAGGTAGATTATATGTCTGCTGGATTCTCGGTAGCTTTTCATTCTCCTCAAATATTCTTGTCAGAGTTGAACAATGCGTGTCGATTCCATTATAACCATCCGATTGTTCAATTTTTTATATTTGAAACCACAAGACAATAAGACACCTCGTAGAGTTTCTAAAGATTTGTAATTGTAATCGGGATAGTCGAGTAATTTATACCAAATCATTTCCAAGGTTGGTACTTCATTTTTTTTGGTATATACCATAAATTGTTCGCCGAATCACATCTTTTGTAGCACCATCAACGTTTGCGAATTTTATTCCTTTGTTTTCGTTTCACTGCATGGTCAATGACATCCCCTATTTTAATTACTCGAAGAACTGTCGAACGAGATAGTTTCGTTAACTCGCATATTCTATTCACAATATTATCATTCTGTGAAGTGTGACAGTTTTCCTTCTTCAAGCATTCATGAATATTCAAAATTACTCGCTGAACTTGAACATGTAAATCCTTATTTTCAAATTCCGGATCCCTGTTGATTGACACAGATTTCTCACACGTAATGTTATCATTTGTTTCAAAAGGTCTCCAGAAATGATGATTATCCTAATTGATTTTTCGGTAATTAACTAGTGGAACCACAACATAAATTCAACATTGGCCACATTTATTCTATAATCGACTTGATGTTGACTCCCCTGAGCTTGAAAAATGTATTTTGATTTTTTACTGCAATATCATGTTCTATCTGAAAAATAATTCTATAACATATCAGACAGGCTTAATTAGATTTTTTTAGTGAAAGAGTGCAACATTTCGTGAAATTGAAATGATTTTATATCTCCAATAAACAAAGCTATTTTTTTTCACTTGGGTGTCAACGGCATCGACTGCTTGGTCATAAGCCTCGTGTTCTGTGTAAATCATGCTGATAACACACTGAGCCACCTAGGTAACATCATTGCTTTTACTCAAATAGAAAAAAAGTCTTTGAAAAATACTAGGATTATTCTCAATTATTGCAATTTTCTTCAATCGAAGTGAAAAACCTAACGACACACTTCCTGCAGGTCAGAATAGATTTTTTGAATTTCAACTTGGCTCAACCAAATGCTATGGGCGTGTGTAACAGCGATGCTTTGTTCGTTACTGGAGGAGGAGGTTCAGTTCCTGTAATCTGTGGAGAAAACACCGGCCAACACATTTACGTGGATTTCAATGGTAACGATACCATCAACCTCATTATCACAACTTCCGCTACAGGACCATCTTTAGGACGCGTCTGGAACTTTCTAGTGACGCAGATCGCATGCGCTTGTCCAACCCGAGGTAAGGAACCATAGTTGGTACTTTCTCTAAAGTCCTTTCGTCTAATAGATGGTAGATAGGTCCAAAATTATATTAGTTTGATCTTTCTCTACAACTCATGAGGACCATCTTCTTCAATATTTACTACATTAGACAGAATGGCATTCTGAAGAAATTATAGTCAATTGGTTGACAGTAAGGGTTTTGGATGTCCAAGGTGTAATATTCTCACCTGGATAACTGCAATAACCTTTCAAAAGATACCCTACCGTGACTGTGGAATTCTAACAGCCCCACCAGGCGAAAGTGGTTCCCTTTTCTCTCCTCTCAAGTAACTTGCAGCTATCCAGAACGGACAGAGTAGCTCTGGAATCGTCTCTGTGGACCATCTTCTTCAATATTTTCTATGGTAGCCAAGATAGCATTCTGAAGAAAGTACAGCCAACTGGCTTATAGTAAGGTTTTTGGATGTCCAAGGTTTAAGATTCTCACCTGGATAACTGCAACAACCTTTCAAAAAGGTGCCCTACTATGGCTGCAAAATTCTAACTGCCCCACCAGGTGAAAGAAGTTCCCTTTTCTCTCTCCTATCAAGTACCCTGCAGCCATACAGGACGGAATGAGTAGCTCTGGAATTGACTCTGTAGACCATCTTCTCCAATATGATTACCAAAATGGCATTCTGAAGGAATTATAGCCAATTGGTTGATAGTAAGGTTTTTGGATGTCCAAGGTGTAAGATTCTCATCTGGATAACTGCAACAACCTTTCTGTATGAGATCATCAGCTTTGTCTGACGACAACATATAGAGCTTTTTACCTCTGGTTTAAGTGAATCGCCCTGAACTGCTTAGGGGGCTTCCTATATTATCATGATGAAGATTCTGGTATTACTAATTGGGAAATTTGGTGCATGGCAGATTCATAGAGATGCTACTTCTTTTGATCTTTCTCTTCTGGAAAGCTTCCTTAGTGACTCTGAGTGTGTTCAGACTTAAATATCCTTTCATTACGAATATTCACACACACCTCAAGATGAGGCATCAGACACCCAACTTCTTTAACACCTCCACTGCAGGGTATGAACAGATGAAGTGATCACCTGCATTTTGTTTGTGAAGTTAATGTCTAGATTGACACGATATCATGAAAACTGAATAAGCAGAGTTACTTCACTGGAAAGTAAGACATTATTGCACAAGCATATGCGTCGAATGATTTTTTTGCCCATGTTTGAAGAGTCGACAACTGAAATTTGTCGACCAATAATACTGGACGCGAATCTCATTCTTTCAGAATCCATCTATTCTGTTATAGACTTGTCAAATGTTTCTGTTTTTTTTTTTGGATCTAGGACTATCGATGAAAGTTACGTTTTGAAGTTCTAAGAATCGTGAGGAATCTGAGAACTTTGAGATATTCAAGCAACTATATAATTATTTTGAAAAATGCAAGCAATATAAGAAAGTGGTATTTTCAGTGATCATTTTGCTTTTCCGAATGGAACCATTGTTGTATTCTGATGCCAGTAGACTTTTGACACTACGAAAATGAACCAGATGCCCAAACAAATTTAAAAAAGCCAACATTTTGTTATGTTGGGTGACAGACCAACTATTATTTCGTATCAAACTTTCGTGCCAAAAAAATATCCACTTTTAGTCAGGACAATTATTTTATTGACAATGTCAAATTTACGTTCAAACTCTTTTCTTTTCAACAACACCATAACAACAATAATTCAACGGTGATAAGATCAAGAAAATAAATAAATAACTCAAAACTAATAAAATAATCAACACCAACTATGGACGAGTTATAAAATCATTCATCGATCCTCATTATTCTATAACTCTATACTCTATAACCATAAATTTGAAACGACATGAAATAATTTTGAAATGACGAATCACAAGCACTACAGGCAAACCTTCGCTGCCTGTGCGAAAGTAGCGATTCACGTTGGATTTGAATCGCTGGAGATTGAATTCATTTGGAAAAATGTTTTTAGAAACATTATTTTTGAACAGTGAAGTTCGAGGTGTACTGAGTTGAACCTCGAAACGATAAGCAGCTATAGTCAGCTTTTTGCTGACCGGCAAAAAGTGACACTTTCTTCAAAAGAATATATCCTTATCAGGTCGTGAAGTGAAAGAAAACTGATGAATGATCGTTTTCAGCACCTTCTGGATGTCTTCAATTTTTCAACACAACCACTGGAACTGTTTCAAGTTTCAACTATGGAGTAGGCAGCAACGTTATAGATCCAACAACTGGTCTTCCTGGTACCAGACAACTCGTGAATGAAAATTATGGAATATGTGTAGGAATGTTACCAGGTAGGTGTATTAATTTTTATCCCAGTGTGAAACGAATACAAAATGATGATAAGAAATTCAGGTATTATTTCAATCATCTTCAATATCTGTACTATTTATCATTAATGATCATGGAAATGAGGCCAGTTTTTCTACCACCTACTAGATTTTTATTTATGTATAGCTTTATAATAAAGCGCGTGGTTCAATGGGTTAAAATTAAATTATTTCAAATGAACTAATTCATAACAATGATAAATGTTAATTTCGAAGGTAATGAACTATGCTTCATAAAATCAGATGAAGAAATTTGTGATTTATTCTCAGATTTGATAAACAAGCGATACGGTTTGTGAGGTCCGATATAAACAATTTTCGATTAAAAATCATGAACATTTATAATTACGATTGAGGTTTGATATTATTATGTGTTTTCATTCAAAATTGGTATCATCAATGTCAAAAAATAAACTAGTTCGCAGCAAAAAATTATTTTACGAACAACTACAGAGATACATCGTCATAAATGCAAAAATACGAAACTAATCTATTTAGTAGGTCGCTATTAGCGATAGTGACAATTAAATTGGTATGACGCTGTCAGTTTGTGAATTTTCGAAATTGAATTAATACTAATTATGTGTTGTTGTTCTATTCTTAATTTGTTCCTTTAATAATTCACTTGTTATTGAAATGGCATACACAAATGAGGAAATGGCTGATATGCATTACGTTTACGGTCTGTCTCAGGGGTATGGGTTAGAAGCTTCTAGAAGGTATGCTGAACGGCAGCATCCTTCACATATAATATTTACTCGACTTCATCATCTTTTGCTGGAAAAATCCTTACTTGTTTACTTTGTGGTAAATGTTCAAGAAGTACTGAAAACTTATGTGAATTTCTGGAACTTCATCTAGCTTTTCCTAATACGACNAGAAATGGTCAATTTCTAGGAGAAAACAATTTTTGAGAAAAATGCAGACAACATTTTTTTTCAAAATCGACGGGTACCGCCTCTTTGATTTTCAGTCGACAAATTTTCAAAACACTGTTTCGATTATCACCACTGCTCATAGTATGTACAGTTCCGAATGCAAAATAATGACAATTACTTATTCATAAATCCCGTGAATATTATCGTGATGAATTTTCTTTTATTTTCAGCCTCATCCAAACCATTTGTTCTCACTGTAGTTACAAACGGCGATGAAGTCAATGATGTTGCTAACACTGGATTTTCTCTCAGTTTCATGCAGTTACCATGTGCAAACAATATGTTCCTTGGATGAGCATTGATAATACACATTCATTAAATCGAAGTTTTCCAAAAATTCATGTGTATTCAGTTAGTAGAAAAAATCATTAGAGGGTTATTCACCAGAGCTAATCTTTTATGTGACTTTTTGTGCCTCTGTCATTTACTATCTACTAATTCATCATATCCATCATCAGATGAGAGAGAAGTATGTGAATTGACTTGTGGTTCTTGGTCGAACGTTATATTGGTGAAACGGAAAGAACTTTCTCCAAAAGAATAACGGAACCTACAAGTAGTTTTTCGAACGAGAAGACCTATCCAACATTTGAAAACCAATATTGAGGATTAGGAATATGAATAATTTTTCCTTGTCGAGTTTGATTCATGATGATGGAAATGGTAATTAGGATATATTTCAATTGAGGTGATATGGGGCAACGATAGTACTTGTTTCAATTGAAAGGACAATTTGATAGGTTGTTTTACAGAAATGGTAAAAATGTATCAGTTAGGTAAAAAAAGTGTCATGATTCAAATTATCATAATTTATGAGAAGCACGATGTGGTAGTGTGTTATTTTGATGAAAAAGCAAAATCAGATCTATTCACTTCAAGCTATTTATTTTCTAAACTGAGCACTTCAAACGTCAAAATTCTAAAACTCATCAGATGAATAGAGATTAATAAATTAGTTTGGATTACTTTCAATTGAAGTGGTATTCAGAGTGTGATTCTTACGTTTATGTGTCGCCAAACAATATAGAGGACATTATTTTCAACAAAACTCGATTATTTTTAAATTAGAAACTTTTGCAAGAATAGAACTGAAGGTTTTTTCAAGCACTTTGAAAAGATTCTATAAGATTCACCAGAAAATGCATTTGTTTTGGTTCGTCACGTCCTAACCTCCAATTTTAGCATTTGATGTATAGAAACCAAACTTCAACTATCTATTACTCCATTCGTATTGAATCTTACCTTCTTCTATGATGAATTGTCAAATGAGTCTATGGAATATTAGTGTGCCCAGTAAATCAAACAACTAACTGGAATGAATTTTTATTTTCATTTCTTTCATCCTACAAAAATATTCATTCCACAAGACAATTGGGTGAAAGTCATGGAGAAACCTGCATTTCCCATATCACCTGTTTCATCTCCATTTGTCACAACCGTCATCACGAAGGGCTGAGAAAAAGCTGAAAAAAAATCTTCATTAGANTCTGTGAGTACTTTGTCTATCGTGGGTATTTCATTTCTGAAAAAGTACTCATGCACTTTCCTCCTGATTATATGTTCATCAGCATCATCTATTGATTTTATAATGGTTTGACGATTCTGATTTGTATTCGGTTTGGAAAATGTATGATTTTGTTAATAATCCCGTAAAACATAATAAATCGAAGCGCAACACACTCCAATTTTATCGGAAACTTTCGATACGACTTCGTCGACAGTCGATGTCTCAATTTCTTTCATCTCTTCCTTGAACACATTTAAAATCACTTCACTCAAATGTCTTTTTTTGGATCGTTTCCTGGCTGTACTCAGAGGATAGCTCACAGTGTCATCAGCAGTGTCTGTACTGGACATCTTGGAAAACAATTCTAAACAACATACTATAACGCACGCCACACAAACATGCAAACGACTGATTACAATCCTGTGCTGGTACCGAACTCGTACCAAGAAGGCGAATTCACCAATGAACGCTGCCCTTTCCATCTGACACTGGGCGATCACGTGAACATCACGCTTCGGTTTTGTTTTGTTTTACTCTATCTTGGATTTGGATAGAATTCAGTATGCGAGGATTATGAAAGCCAAAACTTTATAGATTCACAAAATGTGCGTATTATTCAAACAACAAATTAAAAAAAAATCATTACTTTTTCTTCTTTCATGATATGTTTACAACAACAAAGATCTTGAATGGAATAACGAAATACTCAGTAAAACACGTATTGTGCATGGCATCCGTGCTACCTGCCATTCAGAAAATTCGAAAACTCATGGTGCCGCATGTTATTCAAACATCAATTATATAAAAATGATTAACTTTTATTTAATGTCGTCCAAAAAGATAAAGAGACTTTAATGAACTTTTATATAATTGGGTATCTTCATCTCATTTATCTCACATATATTTCATGAATACGATGATCATTGGTTTCAGTATAATATAGTTACAGCAAGCGCCAAACGTGATGGTGAGCCCGCCCCATGCACATAAAACTCATTTTCAATGTTACCCCCACTACAGCTCTTGTGAGACATACAAAGTCTCTGTACAGAGGCGTATCGTTACTCGCCCTCCAATGTAAATGAAAAACTTAAAATAGCAATATCGTTGGAGTGGCCAGAAGAGTGAGCTGTAAGAATATATTTGTAAAGCTGAAAATACTGACTTTCCATTGTTTGTATGTCACGGATATACTGATATATGCCAAAACAGAGCTGACCTTATTCAGAGAGCTGGGAAACAGTGCTAAATCACCGTCTCCAAAAAACAGAACGTTGGCCAAAATACCTGGTAATAATTTTGTTCAATCATCTATCAAACTGCTACATTCCTTTGAATAAATTCCAAATAGTAGTCAAAAATATATTATTNGTCAACCACTGTTCAAAACAATGAGGATTCTACCACTCCCTTGTGTGTATATATACCAAAATTTACTAGAAATCCATTCAGAAAGGCAGAATATACAAAAAGTTTCTGGCCTGCATCATTACACTACCCGGGCTGCTACGGCTGATGATTTAGTATTGCCACGTTACAGGTTGTCCAAATCTGAGAAAAATTCATTAGATTTTAAACTATATAATAAATTGCCCTGCGAATTTAGATCCATGAACGAGAAATTGTTCAAAATTAATGTAAAAAATTATCTTCTCGAACATTGTTTTTATTCTAGAGACGAGTTTATTCAGACAAAAATTCAATTTTGACGTGTATTACCCAATTTATGTGATTGTGATATATTTTATATTGTATACCTGAAGGCTTTTAGATAATGTTATTATATATTCATTCAATATGATATATTAATTGTGATTGACTTGCTATAAACCATATCATGTATGAGTTACATAGTTAAATAAATATCTATCTATCTATCTATAATTGTCATCAGTATTATTATCATTATTTTCTTTATTATTATTATTATACTGCTTACACATGGGTCCCCATAAAAAAAAATTGTGGTTCAGTTCAGCCCTTTCAAGGAAAATCCTGAATTTTCCTTTAGCATATACTTACTCTGGAGTGTCACGAAGGCATTCCCGCAAAATCTGTCAGAAGTCAAAGCAGTGCCGTCAGGAAGAATGGGACCAGGTACGACTACAAAATCTGCCGTACATGCTGCCCCGGTTTGTTGAGCCGCCGCCGTGCCTATTGTTCCATCTCCTATGAAAGTATAAGTATTGTCCGAAACGGTAAAGGTCATCGTACCAGCAGTTTGAGCCCATTGGATTCCACAAAAACCTGAAAAAATAATCATGTAGCAACATGAAAATCAGTTTGGGGTTATAATTTCAAGGAAGTACTTTGTCTCCAAAACTGCTGAAGTAAAAATTAACAGGTTCATTTCTATGAAAGAATATTCACAGTTCTGAAAAAAGCTGGAGTATAGTTTAATAAAATAGCAATAATAGTCACCTCTTATTGTGGCAACGCAAATTCCATAATTCATATTGACGAGTTGTCTGGCGCCGTTCTGAGGTGCAACAGAACCATAGTTGAAACTTGTCACTGTCCCAGTTGTGGTGTTGTAGAACTGCAGGCACCCAGAAGGAGCTATAAAAATAGAATATGGTTAACAAACTATACAATTTCCATTACACCAGTGCATTTCTTTAATGACCCCCCCCTTTTTATTTTTTGAACAGGTCAACTCAAAAAATTGAAATTTGGGATAATGAAATCAATGCATGAATACTTCATTTTGAAGTTAAATTGACACATGAAACTTTCAAGATGGCGACTGGGCGCTATCTGGAAAAAAATATTGAATGAAAAGGGGGGTCTTGTGATACATCATTTTGAAGCTCCTGACGAATACTTCATAACCCTAGAATATGAAGACAATATCTTCACCTACTACAAAATGGCGGAACATTCAATAATTTCCTGAAGACAAACACATTAATATCGATATTTTAAGAAAACCATCAACAATCTCTAAAATGGCCGATTCTCGTCTACTGGAAGAAAAACTTGAAGCGATTTTTATTTACGGTGCGACGCGTAACTTTCACGACACCGAAAGGATTTTCAATAAACGATTTCCGAATCTTCCTATCTGTAGAAAATATTTGAGGGAACTTGTAGTATCCAAATTCGAAACTATCGGTAGTGTACATAACAAAAAGCCCCCAGGTCATCTGTCCATTCCGGAAGAATAGCAAGTGCAAATAATTTGTGAGATGGTAGTAAATCTTGAACAGTCTACTTATTCCGTCTCGAATGTTTGTGAGGTGTCTCCTTCTACTGTATGGACACTTTAGAAGAGGAATAGGTATCATCCATACAAAATTGAATTAAAACCATTGCAAGGCATCTTCACAGACAAAATTGCCGTTATTGAAGTGACACCAACCCTCACGTTTTCCGAGAAACACATACCCAATATCCAGAAAAAATTTACGTTTGGGCAGGAATATTGGAAAACCATATTGTAGCACCTGTATTTATTGATCAACCTTCAACAGAGGAACTGTATTCGAATCTGCTGGAAACTACTATTGATCCTCTCATCACTGAAATCGTCGAAGCGAATCCCAATGAATTCGATATGGATGTTTCATTTCAACAAGATGGAGCACAACCACATCACTCTATGCAAGTAAAAAACTATTTGGATGCTACTTTTCCCGGTCGTTGAATTGGCCGTCGAGGTCCTACGAATTGGCCAGCCCGCTCACCAGATTTGACACCTTTGGACTTTTTTTATGGGGCTATTTGAAGCAAAATGTGTACGAAACTGAACCTGCTTCAATATTGGATATACGGCAGAGAATAATAAATATTAGTAGCGATATTGACGTTACTGTGTTCGAAAATGTTCGGCGTGGAATATTGGATAGAGTTTTTATATGTCAAGAACTTCAAAGCAACCATTTCGTAGTGATGATGTAGTTAAATGTCAATGTATTCAGGCAAATACTTGAAGTTCCGCCATTTTGTTGTAGTTGCAGATATTGACATTATATTATAGGGTTGTGAAGCATTTGTCAGGAGCTTCAAAAAGATGTGTCATAAGACCTCCCTTTTCGTTACATTTTTTTCCCAGATGACGCCCAGTCGCCAGCTTGAAAGTTTAATCTTTCAATTTTTCTTCAAAATAAAGTATTCATGCTTTGATTTCATTATCCCAAATGTTATTGTTTTTGAGTTGACCGGTTCGAAAAATAAAACATGGGGAGGGATATTAAAGGAAAGCACTGTATCATAAATGTTCAGAATATGACAGAATTTGTAATAATTTCGAGTTAAAGCTATTTTCGGGTCTGTTGGCCGTGTTCTGCAGACTTTTTGCTGAAGTTTTCGTCTACAACTGCGGTATACAGCATCAACGACGTTGAGTTGACGAACATTTGAAAATCGTTTTTGATTGTATTGAAATCAACGTAAAAATTCAATAACCAGTTGAAATTAGACAAATGTGTTTTTCAATTAATTTCATTAATGTTGAATCAATGTAATTATCGCGTTCCCATTTTGAAATTTTCAGGCTATAATCAACACAATCTTTTTGAAAAAAGCTTCAAATGGATATATCCTCCATCAAAACCCTGATTTTGCATTTTCCCGACGAACATTCCAGTCAACACCAAATTTGCCATGACGTCATTCATACTTCTCGATGTTCTTGGATTTCATGTTATTACCAGGGGTCAGATCTGGAGAATATGGTGGATGGAAAAGCAATTCTAATCCCAATTCCATCAATTTGTTTTGATGTTTGTTCAAATGCAGTTTTACATACATATATATGACTTTAGTATTAGGGAGTAGAATTATATATAGGTAATGATCAATCAGTAAGACGATTTTCAATGAAAAATTGGGTTGATACCCACTGATGTGCTGTTTTCTGATTCCAAGAAGCACAATGAAGCAGGTATTGATTATATCTGAGAAGAATGAACTTAAATCTCAGGAAGCTATGTTCATAAACAGAAACCAAATTGTCATTGCTCATAGTAAAAATCAGAATGGGAATTCACTTACCTCTATAAGGGCAGTTACAGGCAATCTGGGACACCTTTATATTCCATGCCCTAGAAGCAAACAATCCACTGCTCCTAATAGATATAGTAATGCTGGTGTTGCCGTTGAAATCGACGTATATATGCTGGCCTGTATTTTCTCCACATAAAATGGGAACATTAGAAGCTCCCCCAGTTACTATCAAAGCATCCGTGTTACAAACGCCCATAATATTTGGCTGAGCAAGTCTCAATGTGAGGAAGTCGATTCTAACCTGTGAAATGATAGAAACAACCAGTTATAACTTTTACAGATGATACTTATTTTTTACTGCAGGAATGTACACCGTGTTCATGGAAAATATTTTTCAAAATAATATTTACTATCTATTGTTTGCAACTTCATTGGCGTAGACTTCATGGTTTTGGTTTTTGACAGCAAGAAAATTTCATGTATTCGAGTTTATTTTATAACAAAATCGTTTCACGAACTATAATCAACCAAAGTTTCAGGAAATGAACTGAACAGTATTTTTAGATTCTTTCCTGAAGACTGGTTGACGTTTTTTCAAATGTATATAACTTTTAGCTTCATGAACCATTTAAATGATAACTGATGATAACTGAATGTTGTCACAACTGTGGCTACTCATCGTTTTGACTTTTTCATTTCGAGAACTGAGTGTTTGTGGAAAAAACTCCCTGAGAATGTTTTCTAAATGAATTTATTCTACAGTGATTCACATCCAAAATGAATTGCTTCTTTCGCACAGGTGCCGCTCTCAGAGCGCCTGAAGGTTTTTCCTGTAGTGCGTGTGTTCTGTCCTTTCAGAAAAAAATGTAACTGAATATCATCAACTTACCTGACATATGCTTGGATCAATCTTTTGTATAGTATATGTACAAACAGAACTAGCTGCAAACCCAGTCGGAAATCCAGGACTTACAAAGTAAGTATTATTGAGTTGAGTTGATTCCCCGCAAGATCTCTGAACTGAAAAAAAATTATAACTTGAAAACATTCAGAAAAAAATATTGTGAGAACAGAATTATTAACTTCAGAGGAACGAAATATTTTCAAAATGGGCACTTTTCCCAAACACCAGAACTGGAATATTCTCGACGTTGCGTTTCACCAACCGAGTTCGCGATTTCACGACATGAAGTATATTGTTTACTGTCAGTTTACTTCATCTCCTGAAGATGCTAACTTGTTTGGTGAAACGTTAGTCGAGGAAAGTATTGCAGTTCTGATGTTTGGATAATATTACTTTCGAAGTCAGAGAGAGTAAAACCTTTATGAACGTTTTGGGAAGTCTCTTGGAAATTTTTGCTTTGCAAAATAATTCAAAAAATAGTAACAGTTAATAATTTTATTCGGAAGATAAAAATATATCTGAAATTAAATGCAGAAGTAATTTTACAATATGCCTCGTATATATCATCTAAATGTGTATTCGAAACTACCGAAGTCTATTTGCATCTGTAGAGTAGGGAGGGTGAGTGTATGCACACAGCACTTAGGCCATATGTGACCCATTGTACATCCTCCCGAAGAGTTGTCCTCCTAGGTCATCGTCCATCCTGTCCTTTCCAGGAAGGTGCACAGGTCACTGGGAGAAATCTCCTGTATATCAGCAGGTGTAGGCCAAGACTCGCAGAACACACACTCTCTTATTGACGATAACTCCGGGCACTCGCATAGGACATGCCTGACAGTCTCATCTTCCTGTTCACATATCCTGCATGGAGGTTTGTCCACTAGCACCATATTATGGAGATGTTTCCTTAGTTGACAGTGGCCAGTTAGAAATCCTACTGTTAAGCGTATATTTTTCCTGGTTATTGCCAGATATTTCTTTGGCGCCAGCTTCCCAGGGATGCCTGAGGTGATACTGGCAAGATTGCATCCTTTGATTCCATCCCATCCCTCTAAGGATTGGGCATTGGTGTAACATTTGGCTAGTTCCGCAATTGTTGAAGTCATCAGGCCGTAGGTGCCACTGGCCTAAAATTCTTAGTCCAGCCGTTTCCTTGGCTAAAGGGTTGGCAATGTGATTACCTTTATTCCTGTCGTGCCCTTTAACCCACCTCAGGATGATGTTATTATCTACCGAGGCTTTGGCTAAATCTTGGTGACACTCTAGTACTAGCCCTGTGGTTATACGTTGTCTGTTTAAGGCTAATAGTGCTTGTCTGCTGTCAGAGCAGATTGTTATGTTTTTGCCAGAAATTCCTTTCTTGGTTATTCCTTTTGTGGCGATTGAGATACCAGCCAATTCTGTTTGGACCACGCTGGTATTTCTTCCCATTCCCCACTTAATCCTTAGGCTTAGTAATCTGGAGTACACTCCACATCCTGAGCCTTCTTTGGTTTTTGAGCCGTCTGTATATATGCGTATTGGATTTGTAGCATCTGACCCTGTGTTCTGTTCAATTTTTATTCTGTAGGGATTATCAAACACAAACCTGGGTTCAATTGTATCACTGGTTGCCTGCAGCAGAGGTTGCGCAGTAGTAACCTACTTCGAGGTTTACACCAGCCGTGCGCAATCGTACCATGACCATTAACGCAACCTCCTTAACGTACAGGTCCAGAGGGGTCAGACCCGTAATTAATTCCATTGCCGCGGTTGGTGTTGTTCTCATGGCTCCTGTGATGCTTACCAAAGTCTATTGTGAAGTTTAATCAGGTACAAGGTTTTGTCATAACTATTTTCCAGGTTTATTGGCCGTGGTCTACATATTTTATGCCTGGCGTTTCATCTACGATTGCGGTAGTTATTATCAAAGGCGATAAGACCAGAAACGGAGTGATCTGATTCTTCTCTGACGTCATTGCATTGGTGCGGGGATACAAGATACTTTTGTCCTATTATTTGAATCGGATGGCCCAATTCAAGAACAATTGAGTGCAGGTAGCCAGATTTTGTTGACGTTGATTTTTCCTTTCCTTCGGCTGAGATTATTTATGTGCTCCTGAGTGCGCCTTCCCATATAGTACTGGATGGTAACTCTGGGTTTATTCGATGACTTGGATCACTAAAATTTTGTCAGCCATGAGGAATACTGAGAATACTGATAAGAGAATAGAAGAACAGAAATGGGAGAACATTCTTAGGCCATTTAGACAAGTTATCCATTACTCATTCAAAAGTTATGTCTGTTTTTACGAATCTACCTCAAATTGCAATATATCAGTCAATTGGATTAAAATGAGCGCCATTTGAATCAATTCACTTTTGCCAACGTAACACAAGTCGATCAATTCCGCCAGCATTGAAATGAGTGCTCGGGATTCGATGAGGTGGACGAAGGCCGTTTTTGTCTGGTCGTGATTGGTCAAGGTTCTACCGGTGTGAAAGTTATCAAAGTGTTCGAGAAAATGGTTGAAAACAACCCAATCAAATGACATTTGTTGCCCTAATCTGTCAAGCAAAATGATTTGAAAATTGTTGATGGACTGTATTTTGATTCATTGGTCAAATTTCGGAGTTGCAGGTCCTGAATAATTTTTGATGTGATAACATCGAAAGATTATGTCCGACACAGTTTCGGACTATTTGTTCCTCATCAAGGTAGAGTAATGTTTTAAAAGAATAGTTATTCAGTATCGGATGCCGCCACCGTTATAAACAAAATTTCTGAGCATGAAAATGATTCCATTAGGTTGATATGGTTTTTCAAATTTGTTCATAAGTGAGGAAATTCAATAATTGGACAGGACATTCACATTGGATTTGAATAACTGAAGATTAAATTTATTCGAAAACACGTTTTCAGGAAGTTTATTCCACATAAACGAAGTTATCCAGATGAAAGAGTTCTTAAACAGTGAAGTTCGAGGTGTACTGAGTTGAACCTCAAAACGATGAGCAGCCACAGTCCATCGTGCATTTCTGATATGTGCTTTCGGGCTCTGTAACACGAAGGAAGGTCTCGAGAAGGAACTAGACTGCATCAAAAATGATCTTCAACGGAATGGCTACTCCAAAGCGATGGTAGAAAAAACTTTGGCTAAAAGACAGCAGGAGCCTCGCAAGGAAGAGAAGCCGTCACAACCAGTGCTTGCACTTCCCTACATCAGAGGATTATCGGAGAATTTCCACGCCCCAAGCCTTTCACCTGTAGCTCTGTTTGTTTGTTTGTTTCTATTTTTTTTCGTTAATCAGCTGTCGCCCCCATACGAATGACAACTCTTAGAAGTTGAGAAACTTGTGCGAGCTAGGGACTAACGAGGTCTTACCTTCTAACGTGTGATTCGTAACACGGTTGCAGAATCATCCCAGCTTCAACCAGGTAAATTATCTCTAGAAAAATATCTGGTCGAGAAAGGGATCGAATCCACGTCCTTCCGATCGTGAGTCGGGCGCACTACCACCGCGACCAATTCCACCATTCCCACCATTCTTCCTATATCTAGTAGAACGAAGAATGCAAAAACAAGGTTCACTGCTATGAAAAAAAGATCAGGCTATATCATCTGACATCCCCTCAGATGTGTTTCTTTGGATTTTTTCGTGCATTTATTGAAAGATTTTGGTTTCGTTGATGAAGTATAATAATCGGTGTTAATATGAAAGATATCTTGTGAATGATATCCTTGAATTTAATTTTATTGCTCTGACTAGTACAATAAATATTCCGAGTGTCATAACTACTTACGTTTGGCTGTTCTTTCCAGGGCAGTTCCATTTTCGAAATATCCTGCTGCATCTATGTTAAAAACGGAACAAACTAACAGAAACACAGTTCGGAATGACACGAATGAGAAACCCATTGCTGTGTTATGTTCGAAATGATTTGTGGCTTTGAGAAAGGTAGATTCATTAACACATTTTTTTTATTTGGTTAACATCATTCTTGTATTCTCGATAGGACTGGGCCTAGCGGTAAAATTTCATGAGAATGTGTAAAAAAGTATACTAACCTAGATTTGAAAATGTACAGGATGATTGTATTTTTGAGATTTATTTCTTTTATTGTTATTTTTAGAAAAAAAAGTCAAAGAGAGTATTGATTCAATATTAACTACTTGTGTCCTCTACAACAATAATCAACTACGAAAATTGATATGGTTTTCAGCTCAAGTCGTGGTCTCTTGTTCAGTTGGTGATGATGAACAAAATTAGAACTTGAGATATTTATCTGCTGAAATCTATGAAAATCCGTTTTTCTGTTAAACATTTGTCATGATTTCAAAAATTTCTGTAATGTGGAATTTGAACAGATGTTTCAATATGAGAACACTGTCAAAATGTTCGTGAATCCAATTGACTAGTTTTGAAATGATTATGTTCCAATCAGAACATTCAGAATAACTCAGATCAGTTCACCCAAGCTCACTGCGAATTTGATAATGATGATGATAATTATGGACAAGGCTCTGATAAAATTCAAGGAAACTAGAGATCTGTTCATCTAGAACTACCATGAGGGACTACAAAACTCAACAAACGAAACCATTGAACCATGCAGGGAAGGTTGAAACCCAAATATGATATTCTTGACTTCTCTCAGATTTTGTTTTCGAGGAAAAAACACAAGCACCACAGGAAAATCCTTGAAGCGCTCTGAGAGCAGTGCCTGTGCGAGAGTTGCGATTCACATTAGATTTGAATCGCTGGAGATTGAATTCATTTGGAAAAACTTTCTTAGGTAGTTTGATTCACATAAATGCAGTCCTCCAAATGAAGGAGTTTTTAAACAGTGAAGTTCGAATTGTACTGGGTTGAACTTTAAAACTATGAGCAATCACAGTCCGTCGCGTATTTCTGATATGTACCGCTCTTGGTGGAATCAAATGAGCAAAATCACTTGAACACCTCTCGTGAAAGTATCTTCGAAAGAGGACACATCTCCAATCTTTCTTCGATCTTCCGGACTATCAAGGTTGCAGGTGATATAAGAGTCTCCAATCAGGCGGGTGGCTCTTTTCTGGATGGAATCCAGCAACTTCAGGGTATGCTTAAAGGCGGAGCTCTATACATGAGA